AAAAACAACTTAATTTTGTTCATATTAAACTTGCCATCAGCTAGTTTGACTTGCTGCCCCTTAGGTTTTACAACAGAAGAAACAGTGAAAAATAATTTCCCACTGATATCTCCATACCACTCAGAGTTTGACAGATTTCCATCATATCCTCCCCAAAGTCACCACTTTTCCAAGCACCTTCCTTCCTCCAGAGCCTTCTCCCTGCCATTGGCCTTCAGGATGCTAGAAGGGTGGCTCAGCACCATTGCATAACACTTTGTACTTTGCAAGACAAGTTTTTGTAAACCTCGAAGTTAAACTCTGCATGGAGGCATTAGAAGGGCAGGCTGGCTTGTGATGTGGATGGCTGTGCCCCAGGAATGCAGACCTCATGCTCTACAGAACCACCCTTGTCAGACACGATGTCCCTGGCTTTGATCGAGTCACTGAAACCCTGTCTTGCTTGAATCATCCCCAGAAATGCTCTACAGCTGCTCCTTCTGCCCTCACTCCTCTCCTGTCCCTATTCCTCTTGGGTCAACAGAGGTTTGAGGAATCGAGTTATAACCCTTGCAGGAGCAGGCCACCTGGTTTAGCAAATATCCATTTGAATAACCTCCAGAATAAAGCTAAAACATTGTTTTCATGGTGATAATGTTACAGAATTGGATATTTGCCCATGTATAATAATCAGCTCAAAAGGAGAAGCATTTGCAAAACAAATTAATGAACACACAGTAAAGGGACAGAGATTTACAGGCAAAAATATAACAGAATATGTTTAATACCAAGGGGATTAAACGCTACAAGGGCTCAAAGATGTCAGTTAACAGTGGAAATTTAAGACACAATACAAAAGGTGATGGCTGAATCCCACCTATCCAGGAAATCCACTTGAGAGCAGTTTACAAACACACCCGTAGACGCATCATGGTATTTTCTTTTTTTATAAATCCATGCACAATAACTTGGCTGCACATGCATGTTTCTGTACACAAAAAGCATCCTTCATGAGTCGGAGTTATTTAGGCACGGCAGAACATGCCAGGCTGCTGCTTGAACCATTACAGTGAATTTCCTGGTTTTAAAAGTCACACAAGTCCTCATGTCGACATGAATTAGGTTTTTAGTCACAGCTGCTATTTTCTCTTGGTTTACCACTAATGATGTGTTCAACATGTTATATATAAGCATCATTTTGGCTTTAACTTAGTGATATAACCAAGGTAATGTCCTGAAGAAACAAGGTCAGTGCCTCTACTCTCCTCCTGTAAAAGCACAGGATTTTCCCTCTAACAAATGCCTCAGACTTCATATAAATGCCCTACACAGAGTACTTGGCTACAACATGGTCTGACAGGTGTTTGGCACTGGCACAGCTGGAGAGCAAGACTATAATAAGGGGATGATTTTAGTCTTGTCATCTCAGCCTTTTCCAAGGTGAGACAACTTTGTTCTACCAACATTTAGAATGTGAGCCTTGTCCTTTTAAAGGAGTCCACAGTACATGCACAGCAATGATCACGCAGACAGCAATTATTAGAAGCCCAGTATCTCTGATCCAACTTCCCAGCACTGGCTCATACCCTTCAAAATCAAGGAAACATGAAGGCTGTAACAGCCAGAGTGAAAAACAAGAATTCATGTTCATGTAGACACTGTAGAACATTAGGTAAATGAAACAGGGCTTCATTTCAGAGGTTCTTCTACTGTTTTCCAGGAGCATAGATGGCAGCTGGCATTACATCCCTACTCCCTGTGGTTCTGGCCACTTCCCTCCCACAGTCACTTCTGACACCAAGACAGAGACATGGCTCTATGTCCCTGCATGCAACAGTGATCCCTCATATGCACACCAGAGCTGACAAACACCAGTGCCCTGGTGCAGCAGCAAGGTCTTGGAAGTCTGGAGGTGCCTCAGTCGACTGGAAACTGGTAAATGCTATCCCAGTTTTCAAGAATAGAGAGAAGGAACTTCCTGGTAATTACAGAGCTGTCAGACTCACTTCAATGCCTGGTAAAGTTATGGACAAGTGTATTCCGGGAGTTACTGAAGAACACTTGGGAGGCAATGCAGTCATTGGTCACAGCCAGCATGGGTCCACAGGGGCAAGTCCTCCTTAACCTGCTTAATTTCCTTTCATGACAAGGTCAAGCTCTTGATGAAGAGAGGACAGTAGATGTGGTTGGTTTGGCATTTTAACAAAGCTTTTGACATTGTCTCTCACAGTATCCTCCTGGACAAGATGTCCAGCAAGTAGCTGGATAAATAAATCGTGTGATGGGTGAGTAATTCCCTAATGAATTGGGATCAAAGGGTTATAGGAAATGCGGTTACGTCAGGCTGGTGACCAGTCACCAGTGATGTTCCCCAGGGCTCTTCAATGTTTTTTAAATTATATGGATATAGGAATCAAACATGCATTAATTAAGTCTACTGATGACACTAAACAAGAAGATGTGGCCTCCCTCAAAGACAGAGAGGCCCTGCAGAGGATCTGGACAGACTAGAAAGCTGAGCAATCACCAATTGTGTAAAATTCAGCAAAAGCAAGAGCTGCATTCTCCACCTGGGATGGAATAATTCTGGTTACATGTACAAATTGGGGGATGAATGGCTGGAGAGCAGCTTCACAGAAAAAGATCCATGGTTTTGGATTAATGGCAAGTTGAAAAGGAGTCAACAGTGTGTCCTGGCAGCCAAAAGGGCCAACTGTGTTCCTGCCTGATGCACCATCCAGGGAGGTGATTGTCCTGCTCTACTCCACGCTGTGTGGCCTCACCTTGAGTGCTGTGTGCAGTTTTGGGAACCACAATATGAGAAGGATATAAAGCTCTTGGAGAGTGTCCAGAGGAGGGTGACCGAGATGGTGAAAGCCCTCAAGGCCAAGGCTTAGGAGGAGTGGCTGAGGTCACCTGGTTTGTTCAGCCAGGAGAAGAGAAGGCTGAGAGGAGATCTCATCACACTCTGCACCTTCCTCAAGGAAGAGGTGCTGATCTCCTGTCTCTGGTGACCAGTGACAGGCCACAAGGGAATGGGATGAAGCCCATCCCCACAACAGCACAAGTTCACATGGGACATTAGGAAAAGGTTCTTCATGGAGAAGGTGGTTGGGCACTGGAGCAGGTTCTGCAGGAAAAGTGGTCACAGCACCAAGCCTGTCAGAGCTCAAGAAGCATCTGAATTGTGCTCTTGGTCATATGGATTAGTATTAGGTACTCCTACAAGGAGCAGGGAGTTGAACTAGATGATCTGTATTGGTTCCTTCCAACTTAAGATATTCTATGATTTTGTGATTCTATACCCCCAGACTCCCTTTTTAATCAAACCAGCAAAATACAGCTGATGTATCTTTGCTCTCTACCAGCAACAGCACTGACACTCAGCCACTGGTCACGCTAGGTACAAACACACTGGGTACCAAGTAACTTCCTCCACAGATGAGAACAAGCTGCCTCAGCTGGCAGGACTTCCAAACAAACACAACAAGCTGGCCATAAAGTCAGGACTCTCTAAGCCTACACATTTGTTTGGGCAGTCAGTGCTGTTTGGCTGCTCCAGCCAAAGAAGTTCTGTGCATACTGTGAGGTTCCTCTATTTTCCCTCTCCAGTCCAGACCTGCAGACCTATTTTCCTATGCATGGTAATAATACAGATGGAATTAAATTTTCCAACACTTTTCTGCAGAGTTCAAATCATAAGAAAACAAAAACTTGCTTCAACTACAGCCCAACTCACATAGTAAACATCATGTTTCCCATCAGACTGCTGACTCTCACCACCTGCCAAACACAAGCTACTTTCCAAAGGCTGAATACTGAGTCTCAGAGGCTAAACAGTGGCTGCCAGTGGGAGGACTGCAGGAAGATGAATGCAGAAATGTGTTCTTTATAGCCCCCATGTCTCTATCCTGGCTCAATAATATTTCCTGCCACGAGCAACCCTCATTTCAATTGTAATTTCATGTGATGCATGAGCACTGTATACAATCAATACATCATAATCATAGGAAGAACAAATGAGAAGATGCAACGGTCATAAACACCATGTTCTCACTGGTGCAACATTCTTCCTTTCAGATCACAAGCCTATATTATTTTAAGTTCCCTGAGCAATCGAGTAGCCAGAGATTTGATGGAAAACAGCTCAACAGATTCTTAATCCCACTTTCAATACAAACCATGACTTCTTCCTTAATAAATCCATCTGTCTCCTAGACCCTCCTGTCAATCCTTCTCCAAGGCTCCCCGCGACTTGAAATTTCATTTTGGTGCTAAAGAAAACATCCTCAATCAGATGTGATATAGAACTACAGACAGAAAGAGATAATTCTCCTCTGTGGTCTAGGCATGTAGACTAATTTTTTGTGGGAAGTTTGTAGCCAGAATTGCCTGGAAACCATCATCTTTTTCTTTTTTTTTTTTGTAAATGAAATTAATCCAGTCATGCTACGTGTTTCCCATTGTTGATCACCATTGAAAGAGTTTTCCAAGACAGAGAGCCCAGCAAGTTTCAGTGGTAATTCCGTATCCTCAGTTTTAACCTCCAAGTCTTATCACCATGTCCTGCCTAATATTTGCTCTTCAGTTTATTAATGAAAAAATCCAATTGAAAGAAAGGCTATGACAGACTCCTTATGACCCAAATTTAATCCTGCTGAAAATTCAATAAACTCAAAATTATACTTTCCCTTTGTTTTTAATCCTTCCAGCCAATTTATTTAGTGCATTATCCTCCATGAACTCACTGCTGCTTACACAAAGCAAACATTATGATTTCAATTTGATAACATTTTCCACGGCCAATGCACAAAGGAAACTCAAAGAACACAAAGGGAAAAAAGCACTGAACACTTAAGAGCTTGTCTGCAGAAGCAGTCATAACACAGCATAAAAGTTCCCTATGAAGATCCAACTATATCACATCTTTTGCATCCTATGCACTCCAAAACAACCTCTGAGCTACGGAAGGCAACAGCAAGAAACTCATTTGATTACACCAATGAAAGATTAGATCTTACCTTTTCTCCTTTTTCTCCTATGCCATAGGCTTTGCCCTGGAAATGAAAGAAGAGGGGAAAAGGTACATTTGAAATCAAGGATATCAAACAACAATATAAACATATATTTCATGTTTTCCTTGTTATGCATCCAAAATCTATCTCTCTATATCTATGTATAGGCACACAATCCCATGACAGCTACTACAGTGAAAGTAATTTTCTTTGGGCGTAATTCCTTGATAATAATTCAGTGACAAATTAAACCAGAAAACCTATCCCCAATTCTCCTACTGCAGTCAGGAAAACACCTTATTTTTTATTCATGGAAGAGTCTGATATTACATTTCCAAAATCAAAGATGCCAACAACCCTTATTGGAATGAAATTTACATAGGGATAAAGATTTTCTTGCCTAAAAACTCAGTCTGGCATTTGCATTAATTGCAACTGGGGAAAGCCGTATCTTGGTCATCTGAATGTAAAAGAGTAGAGCGAGATTTGCATCTTCTTTGTGTTCAGTTGCTTCACACTCTCCCCATCAGACATGCACCTGTGCTATAATCAAGTACATCCAAGTTACACGTTTAATTAGAAGGCCAATACTAAGTCAGTTATCAGGTGTATTCAGGGATGAACCCATCCATTTCCCCACCTCTAAGAGATGACAGTGGGTGCCAGAAAGATCAGCTTCCCCCTGGGATTCAGGTCCAGCAGGGGAAACATATTTGACCAGGGCACAAGACATTGTGAGCAAGTTCTCAACACAAAGGAGAAAAAAAATACTTGTATTTTCATCTTCTTAAGTAAAACCATTGGATATTTCTTACTTACCGACTCTCCTTTTTCTCCTCTGAGTCCAGGAAACCCCGGGGTGCCTCTTTCTCCCTTGAAAAAAAAAGTGTGTTACTGTCACAGAGTTAATTCATTCATTTCTTTAACATAGAAGGAAAGTGATGCAACAAGGGTTTGACTGAGAATATGGAAACTTTTGGTCCCCCCAGTCTCTATAGCCAAGATTTCAGCTCCTGCCCTAAGGACTGGGTGTATCTCATTGCATTTATGGTGACTTCAATGTACAAATTTTCAGATGGATTTTCTATTCTATTTTTCATGTGAAAATACCGGTAGAATCCTTCAGAATGCACTGGCAAAGCAGAGATCTTTCTCTTCAAAATTGCTTATTTTCTATTAAGCCAGGAGGAACTTGGAAAGGTGGTTTGCATAAGATCTAGAGGGTACACACCTAAAATATGGAAAAGATAAACCTACAAATATTGTTGACATTTTAGTTGTTTTTTTTTTTTTTAAATTCAAACCCCTTGTTTTCAGTCATACTAAATTTTCAGTATCAGATAACTCCTCTCTTCCCTCCTACAAGTGTGCAGTGCACACAGAGTTGCTCTCCCTGCTTTTTCCAATGGAAGAGAGGGAAGAGGACATAGAAAAGAGACATTTGAAAATATACAAATTGTGATGGGTGGAAAAATTATAACTGCGGAAGAAAATACACGTGGAGGAAAAAGGGAAAAATGGTCAATCAAAAATTAAGCAAAACTTTTTCTCCATTTGTCTCCTCAGAAGGATAGGGGTGAAAGGGATAAAGAATCAAAAAGGATATATGATTTCATAAATGTTCTTCGTATACAGAACTAAAAGTGGTGCCAAAACCAGCAAGTGCAGAGAAACACCTGCAAATCATTTTCATCTACTGCTCTGCAGTCTCCAAACTAGACATGAGACACTGGAAACATTTGTCAGGATCATACTTTTCCCCAGGTGAAGAAAACAGAGAAAAGTTTTTTAAAACTTTTGAAAGCTCAGGAAAATTTCTTTCTTTAACCTTTCTGTTCTGTTTTTTTTGCCAAAAGAAAGAAAACTCACAGAGCAAGTGGCATATATGCAATAGCAATTGCACAGTCAATTAGGGAGGCTGTGGTAAGATTTATAAAAGTTTTTATGCAACCATCTCTTTTAAGTCACAAAAGTACAAAACCTTCCCAATCTGGAGGAAAAATACATCCTGTCAGAGGATGTCTAATACACTGGACTTCACAAGCTTTTCAAGTACAGGTAAGCATTGTCATTTCTATGTGGACAAAAACACGTCTCACAGAGAACAGATTTTTTTCTAAAATCAGATCAATAGGAGCTCTGGAAGAGAGAAGAAGCCTGTTGACCATCAGCCCAGTGCTCCAACCAGCCATCCTGGTTGCCTGCAAACAACACAGCATGCAGAGGGAGTGTGGAAGGAAAATAAATTAGACTGGGCTGTCATTAGCCTCTAAAATTTACCAACAGCACCCAGCTTCAGGCATATTGGCCAATGCCTAACTCTTCCCCTACACCATCCTTTACCTTATCTCCTTCCAAGGCATGTCATCTCTGTCTCCCCTGAGTTTGGCAGCATGGGTGATTGAGGCAGAGGTGATCAACTCCCAGGGACTTTTCCCACTTTTTAAAATAACTGTGAGCTCTCCCGTTTTGCCCTGCCTTTGAAGACTCAGAGAGTATTGGAAACTCATTATCTTCCCACACTGGTTATAAACTTTGAATATTTCCTCTGGACAGATGACATTGTAAGAAAAGCCTGCCCAAACCTCCTCCTCTAAAAGAAGCAATATGCTAAGGGAGCTCAGGATAGCAGAGCCTGAACACAAGTCTCTCCATTTTTAACTCAAATAGATGGCAGCCACATTCATTTTACTTAAAAGACTGTCAAAATGACCTTTTCTTAAAGAAAACGGAGAGAAACACATGACTATTATTTCTTTTTTTTTGGATACAGAGTTGTGCAAGTTTCAAACTGGCTTCCTGCCAAGTCTCCGAAACTTGACAACAGGGTCTGCTTCCCAGAGAGGGAAGAAAAAAAAGAACCCAAGCAACCAAAGCTATAGCAAAATATATATTTTACATATAAAACAGATATATACAGTGAGAATATTATATATATACCTATAACCCCAGAAACCCTAAATAGCTTCCTGAAGGGAAGAGGGGAAGGAAGAAGGGGAAAAAAAGGACAAAATAGGACGAAAAGGGACAAAAACAAAACAAGGTCTACGCGATCTAAAAACCCGGTAACCAGCAAACTAAAGAACTGGCAAAATCTCACCACTTCCCTTAAGAGAAGCAGGATGGCTGGACGCGGCCCAGCACTCTCCCCTCACACGTGGCAGACAACAGCAGTCGATACAGGCCTCAACTTCAGATAAGCAGGACCATATATGGATCTACTGTTCTCAAACCTCGCCAGAAAGGAAGAGAGCGAGCTCTCTTATCTACGCCTTATTTATACCCCATGTTACGTAAAGGAATAGCATGGAATACTTCTGTGTTCACCTTCCTAGTTCCTTCCTGATTACAAGCTGGTCTCTAGGAAGGCCTAGACTGAAACCATCACAAGAGTAGAAACCGCACCAGCTACTGCTGATCTGGGGAAAACAAAACAAACCAAACCCCAAAACTCTCACAGCTTAGAGAAGGAGCCTTATGATCCTCTTGACTTTGTAAGCCTCTCCAGAGATCACTGTACTGGAGTAAAGGGGTTTTTTAGCACTGATCCCTCTCCCTATTGGTATCTCCTGGGACTAATTTCTCAGGTGACTACCACAAGCTGTGGGCCATTTTCCTGATACAGCTGAACCAGCTGCTTTGCTGGATTACTTATATGGCCATATATAGTCTCTCACAGGACATTTCTTAATATCAGCCTGTAAAATGTTTTTGGATAATGCTGAAATACTTAGAACCTACCTAAATATCCCTTGGGCCCCAGTTATTTGGAGGTAGATTTCAGCATTGCAACTCATCCCAAATAAGAGATGCTCAGTAGTGATGATGTCTATAGAGAAAATTAGGAATTTTGTCTCAGAGGTCTGATGTTGTTCTGTCTCCATTTTTTCCTGATAATTTCTTTTCTTATTTATTTGTTTACTCCAATCTCTCTCTTTAATCAATGTTTGGTCTTCGGTCTTCTCTTATGCTATGCTCACTGCCTATTTAATCAAGCCTAAGAGTATAGTAGAGATCTTATTATTTTAATTTTTTTTAGTGTTTCTTAAAGCCTCTGTTCTTGGATTCAAATAAAAATGGAAATCTTTTATATTTGTTACCTTAGGAAAGCTTTACACCCCTTTCATTACCCAAAAACAAAGCTTTAAAACACACCCCTTGCACCATAGAAATGAGGAGCCAAGTTGAATGATCCTAAAACATATTATGGACATGTACAACTCCGTAATGCAGAAGCCACTCATATTTTTGTGGGCCCTTAGCCTTTCTTTCATAAATACCAGGTGGTAATGTTGGGGAGTTGCAAATAGCATTGAATTTCCTCCCCATGGCCAGGATTTTAGCCTGGGTAGCTCAGTAATGCTGCAGAGAGAGACGAGGAGAGCAAAATTCGTTCTTGAACACAGAGTAAGGACTATGACAAGCTGGTCCTTGGTAAAAGTGATGTAAGAACTCCTGTCAAGGGAAGTATATGTTATTTAATCACAATGTCTTTGCAAGTCAGGTGCAAAATCTATTAATTGCCTTATTTAGCAGATACAGAAGCCAAGTAATTTGTCAGAAATATCACATTTGTACCAAATTGTTGTCAGATCCTGGATTTAAATGGCATCATCCCCAGGTCCTTGAGACTGTGACACAGTCCTGCCTTGTCTATGTACAAGTCTCAAATTACTACAGTCAGGGGAAAGTCACACACATCTCTAGATCTCTCCAGCCACACACCTACAGGAGTGGGCCAGCCCTTTTGGGGTCTGTAACAGAAAATCTGCTGATGCTGTGCTTATATAAACACCCTTTTGTATTCCACTAGTGCCTCCTGCACACCAGCAACGTGCCACGTTACACAGGGCAGACACCCTGACCGGTGTATAGACCTTGTCAAAGTGGTGAAAGACAACGAGATGTTGCTGCAGGGCCCTTTTATTATTATTGTTATTGTCCTTCTGCAACCTCCTCACGACAGTCATGGCTCTGCCATTCTTCAAAACAGCCCATCATTATTTAAGCTGTCACAGATTAAAATAGAAAGCTGCTATTTATATTCGTGGAAGCACAAGGAACTGTTTTCTGCACATTCAGTCAGGCACATCTGAGTACTAATGAGTCCATGTTCTTTCATTGCAGCAGAAAACATACTCCAAAACGCATCTCCTTATCTCCAGAACTCGTCCCTGCAGACAGCAGGCCCAGTTTTGCTAAAAGACAATACATTTTTGAGGATGTCTGACCTTCCAAGACCCAGAGATTTCCCCTTTCCCCTCTCACAGTGTTTCATAATAACGGAGTGACTCCGGTGAGCTGCAATTCAATTATTCACCCAACAAGTATAAACTCAGTGACTGAATTTGTAGAAGTGATTCAGATGCAAACAGTTTTGAATACAACTTGTTCCCAAAAATCTTTTCCATCACACAGATGGAAAGCTGGGAACCACCACCACCAGCTTTCACCTCTTCATCAGTGTATGAATCTCTGTTTTCTTCCAGTACCTGTGCTCCCTTAGAGTCTATTGCCTCACAGCTCTATTTGTAACCAAGCACAGAAGAAAAATGTGTTTATGCTGAATGCACATGTATATCAAAGAAACTTGCAGAACATGCAGGGTAATATAAAGGCTGCACTGTGAAACTTGAAGCAGACATCACAACCACTCTCCTACCCTGTTATCTAGGAAGAAGAGTGCTGAGGGAAATGGCCTATATTTAACATCATGACTCAGACAATCTTCATAAGGATAACAGATTGTGACTAATCTTTTGCTGTTAGTTTCAGGAAATTTTGTAGAGTGTGACTGGAAGGCTGCTACCCAACTTATGGATATATAGTACTGCTGAGCAAGGCACAGCACAGAAGCAGCTCGTCATTTTCCAGGTGACTTACCACGGAAGCTGTGCATGACCTAGTAGAGAATAACAGTAACTTGCAATAAACCAGTTTAAAAGCTACAGGAAAGCATTGTGCAAGACATTTACTCTAAGAATGACATAAAGCAGCAACAGAAACATCTAAATGCAAGTGTAGAACAAAGATACAAGATAGTCAGAGCCTCCTGTTCTGCCTCAGGCTCATCCAAAACTGTCTGAACTTAGTCATATGCTAAACTGACTCTCAATTCTCAAAATCTTTAACTCCTCAGCTTACTCTGAAACTGTTTCATTGTTGTTGATTTTATTAAACATATGGACTAACACATATTACTGACCTTTTGACCTTTAGGACCTTCAGGGCCAATTAGACCCCTCTCCCCCTAAGACAAAAAGAAACATGATTAATCACATCGATCTTCTCATTATATAACCAAGCAAGGGGCATGATCCTGCAACTACTGAGGACAACAAAAATGTTTTTAGGTTTAAGCGGAGAAGAGAACAAAGCTGACATGCCCTCAGGAGCAGTGACAATGGAACTGGCTTCTCAGAGGTCCTAGTCACAGCCAGCACAAGCAAGCACACCAAAAGCTATGAGATTTTTTTCAATGTGGCTACATTTACCTCCAGAATCTGGTTTGGTTTATTTTTTTTTTTTTTTGAAGAAGGATGCACCTAACTTGGCTGAATAAAAATAACCACTTTGTTTTCAATGCTGTTACCAGGACTAGCAGCAGGGTCAAAATCACTGAATTATGTAAGGAGAAAACACATGGGAAAAGTTCCATTACTTCTACAGACGTCCCAAATGAAACATTCTTGTCTCAACACTCACCTTCTGTCCAGCAAGACAGGAGCAGTTGAATGTCTTGAGGTGGCCAACTTGCTCACTGCCAACAGTGGGCTTCACTTCCAGGGGAGGTGCTTCCGTCAGGACCGTGACCTGGCACTGCACCCAAACACCCAAGGTCATGACAAAGCCTTTGATGCTGGAAAGTTTCCCCTTCCATGCTCTTTAGAGAAACTCCACAGGCACTACTGTATAACACACAGCCAAATGAGTCCTCAGGAGGAATGAAATCCCACAAAAGCCATTCATCCAAGCAACAGGGAAAAATGTGGCAAAACGAACAATGAATCTCTTAAACCAAGATTGAGGGGAGAAGAGTTGAAAGGAGGGTGGAAGTTTCTAGTAAGAGTTGGGCACAGGAAAATAGGCAGCAACTGGTGCTGTTTTTATCTGTTCCCAAATAAAACCAGTGGGAAACACGCTGAATATTTCATGCTGCATTTCTGTTGTTCCATCATCACTTCAGGGTTTTGTTTCCCCTGACAGTTTGACAAGGAAAGAGGAACTTGGAAACTTCAAATTCCTCATACTCATCCGTCTGCAGTGGTCCTCCTCTGGTTCTGCTACATTACCAATTACACAGTTAGGTTTCATTCACCCTCATTAAAAAAATTATAATCCCATACTGCCATACATTTCCTGATTTATGTTAAGAGATTTCAGTGAAGAGTGTTCATGTGAAAATGAATAAATGACAAAAAGGAGCTTACCGGTCCAGAGGGAATGTCGCAGCACGTCTCCAGCTCAGCATGCCGGGAATCACAGTAAATAACCATCCGCTGAAGATCAAACTGGAAAACAAAGCGAGGCAACAGTCTCAGACACACTGAATTATTAAAGACCGCATGTCCTTTTGCTTGGATACAAACAGAGCAGGCAAATACAAACAAAATCCAGATGGTGCTAACTTCAGAGTGATTCCATGGATCCTGTAGTCAGTCTTGAGCTCTACCTGTCAATAATGGACCAATATCTCAGCATGGTCCAAGAGAGCTGAACTAATGAGACCCTGAATATACCTATTAAAATTCTGGTGGAGGTATTCATGCTAATCCCCATGTTCTGGCCAAATTTCTGTCTGAGAAGACATATCCTGGACACCTCTGTCCCTCCTAGAATTTTGTCTAGACACAAGGTTTGTTTTTCTCCTGCTGTGCCTGGCATCTTCTGACCGTTTACCCCTGCATGAGAAATTATGTTTAATATGCACATTTAATATGCATGTGGCATCCATTTTGCACAGATAGAAAGATTATACAAGTCTCAAACACCAAATGATCACACATAAATTATACCAGGTTAACACTGCTGCTGGACAATCAGGTCCAACCTGCAGGTCTCAACTTCAATTGTACGAAGAGTCATTTAATATCCGAGGAACTGAGAACGTACCATGACTCTCCGGAGTTAACAAGCTTCCTTTCCCCTCCCATCTCTTCCTATCATGGGTGGAAACATTCATAATGCCAAGATCAGACAACAAAAGGCCTTTACATAGAGTTCAGCACCCAGTTCAATGATATTTGTGTGTTATTTTGTCTCTGCTTTTAACTGCAGCATGTTCCGTGTAATCAGGAAATTCCTTGAGAGTTCAGGAAATTCTCCAATACTGCACCTAAGCTATTTCACTTGCAGAAGAAAGATGAAATTTCTCATTTTTAATCCCTATTATGGAGACACTGTCAGTCTCACATAAAAAGACAGCAAGCATGATAAGATGCCAACCTGTCTTACCTATGTAATACTGGTAACATTTCAGCAATGCTGCATCAGGAAAAGGGTCAATTACAACATAATCCCCAAAACCCCATTCATGTGCTGCAAACCCAATCCTGAACATTACCCCAGCGCTAATCGGGAAGAGCAGTACTCACATCAATGGGGACACTGTCATACAAGCGTTTGCCAATCACAGTCTTTCCTTGAATGTCAATGTTTTCCCTGTCTTCAATAGGCAGCACCTGCACCAGTTTGCAGTCTATGTAAAGCGAGACAGCCTTCGACTGGATGCTGAGGGCAATTTTGTGCCAGTTGCGGTCGAACAGGTCACTGACTCGTGTGTTTCTGAAGACCACCCTGACGGCGTCCTTGGTGAGCCCCACAGCGTTGTACTCCAGAGCTTTGTTCTCTCCATCCAGGCGGATCGAGACCTGCACGGAAACAGAAGGAATTTTTCTAAGGAAGAACAAAGTCTTCTCCTTCCTCCTGACTGCTTTCCATCACCACCGACACCACAAATCCAGGGATGGTACAGCCTGTGGTGAGAAGCCCAAGCAAAGAACTTGGACAGAGTTTTGTGAGAGATATGGACAGGGAGCCCACACCTGTGCTAGTAAATAAGATGTGGCTGCACAGGTTTTAGTGCAGATCCATGACCACCTAAAGCCAGGCAATGCTTGGGCGTGGTTGGGTGGTAACACATCAGGGGCATCTCCCCAAAGGTAGAGAGACAAATCTGAACCTAGTTTGGATCCCTCTATCCTGTGCACTGCTCCACTACTTCCTAGCAGTCTCTGTGCTCTTTACTCCCATCACATGTCCTCAGCTGTCCCTTGAGACACAGACAAATGCTTCATTGCCTGGTATGAAACCACTCTGCTGATCTGTAGCACTGCCCACACGTTATTTCAGATGTTTTGAACAGAAAACTACAGCTACACCCCATCCCTTGTCTTCCAAGCTACAGAGCAGGCAAAAATTGGCTTTTGAAGACATGATACTTTTAGTAGATTTACAAAGTGGTTTCTTGTTTTACCAAAGTCAGGCAGTAACCAGCAAGCAGCAGGCAATGGAGCAGGCAGAGCCAGGGGAGCAAACGGTGAGTTTGCAAGCTGCAGAGCTGGAAGGAGTTTGGACCACACTGGCACTGAGCTGTGTGTGATGTAAGTAGCCCACTTCTGACCCCAGATCTGACCCAACTTCTCCATGCAGCTGAGATCTGTGCTGGCTGGGAATGCCAGCTCAGATCAGCGTTGGCTCAGAAGTGTCTACATCTGTAAGCTGTGCAGGTGTGCAATGGACTGGCCAAAGCAGGACTGACTTTACATGAAACAGGGCTCACGAGGCTCTAAGGCACTTCTGGTACCACATTTAAGGGCACTTTGACATTATTACTGGAAATATTGAGTGTTTTTTTTTCTTCACACCTAAACAGTTCAAGTTTTCAAGTTCTTCCAGGAAATACTGCGTGATACATGCATTCTCACCCTGCAGCAAATAACAATGCAGGTAACACAGTAAAACACATTTCATTTAACAAATGAATAATAATTGTCATCTCACCCTTTTACCATTGCCTCAAACCCAGTTAGCTAACGCTTCCAACTGTATCTATCTTTCACTGAGAGTTCCCAAAATCCTTTTGAATATCAGTCCCAAAGCAATAATACTGAATTACTTAGCTATGTGAGCCCATGCTGACACTCCAGTTTAGAGTCATGAGTAATGCCATCAGCATCATATTTGGTGCTGCACCATATTTGTTGCTGATCAGAAAAACATACAGCCCATCCAAACCACTCCCTCCTCAAGCACACTCAAACACCTAAACTCTATCAAGCTGTTAAGAACATGCTGTGTAAGGGCAGACAGCCCTTTAGTACACTCTTACAGCACTTTTCTTCTGAGAACATGAGAGTACTTCAAGAAAAAATATTATATCATATCATGCAGCAGCCAGGACTTAGGGTTATGGAGTTATAATAAGTGTTACATCCACACCAAAAGCAGGAACTCATAAAACTTTGCATGACACCTAGAAGAACCCTGTGCAAAAACCTGACATAACTCAGTGCTCTGTGTGACAATAGCTTTCCAAACAGGGAAAATAATGTCCCTAAACAAAACTACCTGAACAAAACTACTAAAAACTCAACAGTAGTTTCAAGAGCAAGGATGGTATTTTTTGCCCCTCTTTCAAACTGACACATTTATTTTCATACTAATAAAAACCATGGTCTATGCAAACCTTCCTCCAGGGTTGAATTAAAGGTAAAAGATTTTCAGCAAAATGCACTGAAAAACAGGTAAAGGGATTTTTACCAGTCTGCAAGGAAAAAGGAGTGGGAGGTTAAAGCAAGAAAACTGGTTCATGGCAACAAAAATAGAGAAAGAAGGCTGTTCCTGCTGGCTGCAAAAGGGCCTCTTACCTGTGGTATGCCGTACTTGTCAATAATCTGCCAAATATACCAGTCTTCTTTCCTGGAAGCCTTTCGGAATTTGAAGGTAGTTACAAAGGCATATTCATCAGGCAGACCTTGTGGAAATACATCCCTGGCATGGGGAGGGGAAAGAGAACATTGTATCAGGTTCAGCAGTGAAGAGCAAAACTTCTAAAACTCCTCCATGTCCCAGTAACAGTTCCCTAAAGTATCATTATAGTTCCTACAAAATCTGCTTTATTTGGAGGCCTGCAGAGAGACAAACATGAGCTTGTGCCCTCCAGGCGATTCTGTCCTTGTGGAGCCCTTTTTAATTCCAATGGAGAAGCTCTCAAATTGGATAAGAAATAGTGAAAATCTGCAGTCAAGTATCCATCATGTTAAAAAGGTTGTTTTTCACTTGATGCTTCTGTTCACACAATCTGTAAATAATTTTGTTCTTCTCCAAGTGTGCTGGAGACCTGTGACTTCTGAGAATGGGCAGGAACACCTGAAAACCTCTATAAAAGTACAGAGTTATAGTAATAAACATTGTAATATTTGCCCCAAAACAGGCACTACGCCTGATGTCTTTCCAAGAAGATGTTCCTTGGCTGATGGCCTGTGAGAACAGGAGAACCTTCTCAAATCAAACATTGCAAACACATTAGCCAGAAATTTACTTAGTAAGACACCATAACCAAATCAAACACTTTTTGACTTTACTCCAGCATAAAAACATATCATAACATGGGGATGCAGGGCTGGGCAGAAGGGATTACTAATACAGTTAGTATTACTAAATCATCTTTTTTTTTTTTGTCACTAACCATTACTGGATGCCTAAGAACAGGAATTAATAGAACAAACATATCTCTCTCCGACCCCCAGTCTTAGGGATCTGGGAGTCAAACTCAGAGACAAATGCAATTTCTATATTAATAACTTTCTGTGGATTTATTTTATATGGACTTCTGCATCTTCCCCTTGAACTCAGGTAAACTTATGACATTCACAACATCCTTTGGCAAGGAATCACACTCTGCTACCCACTGTATAAGGAGCCTCCTCCTGTTTATTCAGGACCTAACTCAGATCTTATCAGGGACAACACAATGAACCTCTTCTTGTTTTATTTTTTATAGCATTCATGATTTTTCAGACTTTGTTTATAATGCCTCTAAGCCATCTCTTTTCTCACCTGAAGAGTCCCAGTTAACATGGTTCTTCATGCCCAAGCCAGCCTGCTTCTCTGATCATTCCTAAATAAACCCTTCCTAAATATCATGTCTTTGCTTTGGCACATCTGAGCAGTCAGGCATAAGCACTCATTAGAAAACAAAACACAACAGCAGCAATTAATGAAGAGCAAACTATGAAGACAGATTCTCTTAACGAATAGGTGACATAATCCATCACTATGCAGAAACTGGCACACTCAAAGGCACATAAAACTAGAGGCCTTAATTATGTTAAAAGCAAAAAGTCCTCAAAATTTCCAGAATAGTCTGTTTTGCAATTACAGCAAAGGTTGAGAGTCGGTCTTTCCTAATGCCAAAATACTAGATCATATTTTAATCTGTGCTTTGCATTCCCTATCTTTTTAGTCAAGTTATAAATTCAGAACACTGTGGCTTCATCCATTGCTCTGGTTTTTGCTGTATAAAGTGCCCATGCAGGATGTGCACCATTATAAGCTGGTTTTTCCTGCTGGGGAAAAAAGCACTCTCTGAACTCTTCCAACTTCTTCCCAAAGAAAACTGAACCAGAGTCCCAATAGCTCCTTTATAAAATCCTTCCCTTAGAAGAGCAGACAAGGCTGTCTTATTTCCTGATATTGGTTATTTTACCAAGGAGGTCCAAGTTGACAGGAGGTTAGCAAATGTGATACCCATCTACAGGAAGGGCCAGAAGGAGCATCTGGAGGTGAATCGAAGTAGGATCTGGAAAGAGGATCATCATAGACTAGATATTAAGAAAAAATTATTTACCAAAAAGATGGTCAGGCATTGGAACGGGCTGCCCAGGGAAGTGGTGGATTCACCATCCCTGAAAATGCTCAAAAAAAAGTGTGGATATGGCACTTGGGGACATGGTTTAGCAGTGAAAATGGCAGTGTAGGATAACAGTTGTATTCAATGATCTTACAGGTCTTTTCCAACCTTAATGATTTTATGATTCTGGACATCTCTGAGCTGGGAACAGGAACACCATTATGCAAGCTTAATTTCAGAAAGGGTTTTCAGATGCTAAATGCTTAGTGCCCACAGAAATAACTGGGAGTTAGGTACCTAAATATCCCTGTGAGTCTGGCCACACCTCATCACACAGGGCTGACAAACAGCCCATCAGGTAGATTTAAACCGACAGAAAACTATAATGACCTATTACCTGCCACCCTCAACTGATTTTTAAAGCGGCCGAGGAACTGGCTGCAAGTTCCAAACAGAAAAAGATTTCATGCCACAAGCAAATCTGAAGACACTCTCATTGCTCTGAAGATGTAATAAAAGCTTTTTCTGAAGCTGTTGGTCCCTACTTCTATTACAGAGATGCATTGCTACATATATAATAAAAACTTTGTTTAGGAGTGTTCACTTATTTCCTCACTAAAAAATGATCTCCATCTAGAAGTTCAGCTTTAGTTAGGGATCCAAGGGCAGGCATTGCTGTCCCCAGAAATATTTTATTTTCTTCTTTCACACAAGGCTGATTTGAACTGATGATCCTTACTACAGAGCTTTGCTGGATGCCTGCTACCTACAGGGAGCACTTTGCCAGCTCCTTGGTCTATAATTCTGACAACAGGATAGATTGCAGAAGAGGCCCTCATAAAACTCCAAGACAAAAAAATACCCCAATGCTGCAGGTTAGTCTAAGAGTCAATTAACTCAACTACAAGGTCAGTTGAATCACAACTTCTACAAAGAAAAAATTTTAATAACGAGCAGGATTTTCACAACACAATCAACCTCACCCATACATCCTTGGCAGACATCTTTCTGGCTTCTACCTCAGAAACCTCAGTGAAGGAATAGATACAACCTCTCTAGGTAATTTCTTCCTGTCTTTCACTGTCCTATATGCTGAAAAAAAGCAAAAAACCAAAAACAAAAGACCAAAAAAACCCCAAACCTATCCTAAATCTCACTTGCTATAGTTTAATTTTCCCAAAACAACTTTTTTTCCACAGGAGCCATGTGAACAACTTTTTCTCCTCTCTTTGCTGCAATGTGTTATATGTTTCTCAACTCTCCCTTCAGTCTTTTACTCTCTAAAAGACCAAAAAAGCCTTCAGTTATTCCACCTCAGTCATGCCTAATCTCCTTTACCTTGTTGGAAATAGGAGATAATGAAGGACCTCTTGAGATCATCTATGCTAAAGAAGGTTTTTCTTGTGTTTAGAATTCATGGATTTAATTTATTCCCATTCTTTCTTGTTCTGCCAATGAATGTGACTAAGGAGATCCTGGCTCCATCTTCTTTGCTTCTTCTCTATCAGGTATCTAAACACATGGATAAGGTTCTCCCTCCCTGAGCTTTCTCTCCTCTAGGCTGAACAATCTGAGTTGTCTCTGCTGTTCCTCATAGGAAATATATGTTTGGGAAGAAGTAAGGAACAAGGAAGCTTCCAGCAGGTTTCTTGTTCTGTGTAGGAGGCTCCTGTAGCTTTTTGGACAATTTCTTCTCTGGGAAGGAGACAGATGATGAGACCAGGGCACAGGCTCATGGAGAAACCTAAGGCAGGTGACTGAAGTCAAAGCTGATGTCAGGAAACAGAGGCTCCAGAAAAACACATCAAAGTGTACATGCCCAAGACTCAGAAACCAGGGAAGGCAACAATGCACCAATATAAAGAACAAACAGATCATGACTAGAAGCTTGGCCAAGAATCAGGTAGTTATGTGAGGTGGTAGCCAAGATAGCCAAGATCATGATCAAGTCAGGCTGGAGCAGAGCAGGCAAGAGAAAACTGAGTGATGGACATGTCCAGGAGGAAGGCCCTGGAGTCAGGACTCAGAGACACAGAACAAGACAGTGAGACAAAATCTTGGCATTAGACAAGACAACAGTAATGAGAAACAAGCCTGAGCACTCAAAACCATACATCTGGGGCACAATTTTGGCCAGAAGATCCTCTGAGGAGCTGTGAACAAACAGTAGGACAGTCCCAGCTACATGAGGAGTGGGGAGAAGTACCAGCCAGATTTCAGGACCAGCCCTCAGCCAGCTACAGAGACCTGTGAGTTCCTCAGTGATCAGGTCATTGACTGCATCCAAGCTCCTGTCTGTTGTATTTGCCTGCTCACAGATGATGCCTCACCACAAAGAGGAAGAAGTTCATAGTTTTAGGTTACAGATTGGAAGATGAGTAGGCACATTTCCCAGACAGCTAAGTTGGCACTTTGTAGAATACTGTTGCTTATATAAAAAGATACAAATCCTTTAAGCAGATAATAAAGTGAATTACATATATTACTCAGTTAATGATTTTGTATCTAATTATGAGATGTTGTTACTGGTTGCTAAACATTGCTCGAGGTTATCTGCGAAATAGGACAGATGTTTTTGTTTGGTTTATTATTCCAGTTATCGGTTTTGTGCAGCTTTACAAGATTTTATTTTCTGTAAGCAATGACCCTATATGCAGCATCTCAGAGTCCTGGCATACAAAGGCTAAAAGGAACTAAATATGCAAACACCTTCCATGGTGTTATATCCATTTGGGTTCATTCCCAAACAAGAGGAGTGTGGAAGTTACAACACAAAAGGCCAAAAACATAAAAGTCTTTCTTTAATTCCGTGTTTCGGAATCATTCAAAAGGGAGCTTAGTCATTTCAATCTACTAATTAAGGATGTTTTACTTCTTATTGTCCTGGGCAATAAAATATTCTACTTGTTTTAAAGACAACAGCAACAACAAATAAATGGGTGTAATCTGAGCAGACGGAAAGCCGTCATAGCTGATTGGTCTGGCTTCACTCCCTCAGTCTTTCTGGGAAAACAACAATAGAAACAACAACAAAGTGCTTCAACCCTTAATTTGAAAAAGAAATTCAAATGGATGACTCTCTGTAATCTGTGATAACTTTTTTCAGTAGTTAATTACATTCATCATGAAAAGTGGGTCTTTCTTTCCTGCTGCTTTTTGATGCCATTAACAAGTACCCACGGACTTTCAGTCTACCACTCTCCTTAGCCAAAGACCCTTTACTAAACTTTGATTTCCCAGAGGTTCTTACAGAGAACAATCACTTCAGTTGTTAACTGCTTCTTAATTTTACTTGTCTGCACTGCACTTCTTGAATTTCTCACTATTAGACTTGCTTCACAGCTCTTCAAACTTTCATTCACTCCATTTCTATCTGCTGAATTATGGAAACTAGGATTAGACATCACATCACAGTGGTGGTGACTGAGTTGCCTGATATGAAGATTATCAACTCATACTTGATAGTCCCTACTTATACTCCAGGGATTGCACTAGTCCTACTTGTCACAGTATCACCCAGAACCAAGAGATTGCTGCGAGACAAGTGAAATAGGTTTATTTCTACCTATACACAGACTAGTTGAGTAGAATCAGATCACAGATCATGAGTCTACTTACCCTTAGACTTGATATCATTTATGGACTTTGGAGTAAACAGTTTTCCTTTCAGTATATCATATTTTTACTTTTTTTTTTTTAACTGTGTGTTTATATGGAGAAAGAGGAGGAGGGGAAAAGAGCAAATCAATCCAGGTTGACTCCAGGATGAAAAAAAATATTATGAAATCAAGAAAATATAAGTCCCGGGCCTTATATTGAAATATGCAGTGAGATGAGTAAAAAAAGCTAAAAACAGAATAAAAAATAACTGCCCTCCTCCATAAGAAGGCAAAGAATTACTACTGATTTTTTAAGCTAAAGTTCAAACCAGCACAGATAAATTTACTGCAAAAACGTTAATGATGACAATACTATCTATGGCTCATGGCTACTCAGTGAAATTATGCACTCACTCTTTTCAAGACTAATGTTAGCAGGGCTCAAGTTACAACCTGAAGAGAAACTGTTGTGATAGACTATGACAAAACTGGCAGCCTTGGGTCATAAGAGGCTCCGAGGACTGAATCCACATTGACACAGGATTAAAAATTGCTCATTCTTTTACAAGGCCAAAACCCATATTAGCTAACTGGTAACAACATCTACCAGGAACTGGCCTCTTGTGTTTAGCAAATTTCTATCCCAATGGGAGCACTACCAAAAATTCCTTTTAGAAGCTATTTATTAAGCAGTAAGTTTTTTAGTGAATTTCTTGATATTGCTCCTCAGAATCATTGAGATACACCAAACCTAGCTCATACTCTACCAGGATGGAGCCTATAGTTGCTGCAGAGGCTCCAAAGCAGCAATATATGTGTAGGTATCAGATAACTCCTACAAGGGTAAGCTAGAGGAACCAAATAATGCAAAGCAGAGGTTAAAATGAAAATAAAGTAAAAAAAAATGGCTACTCACTCAGTTTTCTGAACAACAGGAAAGCTTCCAAGTCGTACATAAGCACTTTGAATTCCATTTTCTTTCATTCCAAAAATCTGCTTCACACTGAACGAATCCATCAGGTCAAATCCTGTCCGTAACAGATGTATAAATAGAAGACATTGATCAAGCAGTGGGACATGCCTTCAACTGTATTTAGGTTGTTATCTCAGACCACAAACAGCACTTTAGAAACTAGGCCTGTTCTTGTTGGGAAAAACCATAACAAAATTCTGACATAGTCTAATCTGCTTAGTTCAAAACTCAAAACCAAGCGTAAACTCAGGCTGTAACAGGTCTTGGACAGAGTTCTCCAGAAATCAGAGTTCTCCAGAAATCAGTAGTTAATGTTTGCATTGCCACAACATCCTGAAAATGCTGTATAATTCATTAACCCTCATTTAGAAAAACACACAGGTGCAGAATGAAACACTTAATTGTAGAATCATAGAAGCACAAAATGTTTGGGGTGGGAAGGGGCCATTAAAGATCATCTAATGCCAATCCCCCTGCCATGAACAGGACACCTTCCACTAGACTAGGTTGCTTAAAGCCCCATCCAACCTGTCTTTGGACACTTCAAAGGATGGGGCATCCACAGCTTCTCTAGGCAATCTGTACCAGTGCTTCTGCACCCTCATTGTAAAATTTAATTCTTTCTCTCCAATCTAAATCTACCTTCTTTCAGTTTAAAACTGTAGCCCCTTGTTGTGTCACTACAGACCTTGATAAAAGGTCTCTCTCTCTTTCTTACAAGACCCTCTCATATAGGGAAAGGCCATGATCAGGTCCCCCACAAGCCTTCGCTTCTCCAGGCTAAGCATCCCCAACTCAGAATTTCTTCATAGCAGAGGTGTTCCAGCATTCTCATCATTTCCATGGGTCTCTTCTGGATCCATTCTAATAGGTCTGTGTCTTTATCGAAAACCACTCGTCCAAGAAACTTGACTACATACATTTTTCATATCATTTTAACATAACTTAGTCCAATCAACCTGTCATTATTATAAGCTATTAATTTTGACAGAAGATACTTGTCTGAAGCTTCTGACTTTGTTCTAACAAGCTATTATTATCTCAATCATAAACCACACTAGTGAGTCTACTCAGCTCCAGCATCAATATGGTCCCAGCCACAACTAACCCATGGTTTTGGGACATGAAGTCCCAGCTGCTACACCCTGCCGGGGACAGTGGGAATGCAATGGTGCCATGGTCAGGAATGCATCCAGTTCCTGAAGGTGCAGTACTGTGTGGATGTGAACATCCTACTTTTAGCTCCAAACTGGTTCCACAGGGGTCAAATCCAAATGAACAGCCACTCTCAGCACCAAAACCACTGTGGAGTTACAGGCAAAGGCACTGTAAAAGGCAGGTTGTGAGAAACCAAACAGAGAATACATGACTTTCTTTTATTTGGGCTATTCCAAACTCGCCTTCCCCTCACACATGCAAGATAACACACATTAACTCCTGTCTTTGTAATTCCAGCACACAAACCTGGTGACATAAGAGTAACTTATTTTGATAAATTGGTTTTAAACTATGGCAGTTCTTTTAACTTTGTTCAGTTGGTGAGCTCTTGAAACTTTTCTAGGGTAGATAAATATTTTTGTGTGATGAACTTAGGCCTGATAAGTCTTGGATTTCTTAGTTGCCTTCAGGAGCCTTTCACGCTAAAAGGCACTGCAGAAGCTGAAAACAGCTGCAACACGAAAAGGCACCCACCTAATTATATAATTCTTCACATTATTATGAATAAATAGGTGCAAAAACCTGCATAGATCAGTCTCTAGGCTAATCAAGATAGCAGACAGCAAATAAAATATAAAGCTTTCTTCATTTTCTCAACTTTTTTATGAAGAAATAGCTTTCTCTGTGGAAATATAATCTTAATTGTTTGCAAAGAGAGAAATGGTTGCCTGGTGCCAAGTTGAGGCCTTTAGTATTACAGTAACTTTCCTGGCTGTCAACAGCTTTTCTCTCCTGTCCACTCTATTTTCAGCTATTACTGGACATTCAGGAAGGCAAATAAAGTAGTTAGGATGCTCCAGGGCCTCGTGGCTCCACCTCATAATCACCTCTGCAGCAACTCCAGTGATACACCTTTCTGACAAACTGCAACCAGCCACAACTGCAGCTATAAATCATGCTAAATAGACCCTACCAGAACATGAAAGCTCCCTCCTGGCTATCACAAAACACAGTATGACCTGTCCCTATAAGCCATTCCACAGTTTATTCCACCGTGTAGTACATATCCCTCATCTGCCCCAACTGCAGGAATGTGAGGAAGGCAGTTGAGTGTTGCTGGCAGGAAGAGACCACAGTGACTGGGACAGGAAATTGTTAACCATTCACAGGAGATAAGCTGTGGTGAAGCCTGAAATGCTGCCCAAGTGACATCATTATGTCAGGTCACCAGAAGCCTCAAGCTGTGAAGTATTGCTCATCTCACGGAGCTTGAGAATCCCTATTGCTAAAAATACACAAATGCAAGATACAGTGAGACAAGAACATCTTGCTGAGTCTTCCCATCATTAGCTCAGACCCGAAGTTGCTCCCATTTTCAAGCAAATGTTCACATCATGAGCAAATCCGAAGGCGTGCACATTAATAGGTTTTTTCAATGGAAATGAGTTAAGAGTCAGATTCAATCCATCTCTTCTTTTTTTTTCCTGAGATTTCCTATCAAAATGCAGTTTCAAAAGCCTAAATAACATTATAAAGCATAAGCTAATTATTTTGCAAACAGAACTTGCTGTAATGAAAGTAAGTCACGCTCACAACTTAATCTCATTTACATTCAGGATTGATAAAGCACACAAGTAAATCATAAAAGGATTTTCCTCATTCAGGCTATGGATAGGCAAATTGCAAATTCCTTTATGTATTTTTTCATTGAATTACATATGAGGGTTGTTCTTTGAAAAATGTCATGTAGATCCATGAGAAATGACTTCAGATGTCTCAGAGTCCACACCCAAAACCAGTGAAAGGATTTGATTTAATCACACTATCAATTTGTTCTGTGTCAAATTTAGATAATGCCTCCACTATCCTCAGAGGGAGAATGGGGCTTTGGGCAACCTGATCTAGTGAAAGGTATCCCTGCCCATGGCAGAGGGATTGGAACTAGATGATCTTTGGGGTCCCCTTCAACCCAAATCATTCTGTGATTCTTTGGTCACAGACCACTTCACATGGGGTCCATCTGGGTACATGTCAGTTCTCTAGACAAGATGATAACACAGAATCTTATTCAGTTTGGCACAGGTGTTTCTATGGAAAGACTAATTTCATACTAAAACAGATGTCAAAAACTTATGTTTCTCTTCCTTGACATAAAGAAAGCTTAGGTTGCTCCAGTTGCACACTAAACCTCATCTAGTAAAGGTCTACAGCTGGTGAGATAACCTCCACTGGAAAGGTCTACAGCTGGTGAGATAACCTCCACTGCTGGATACTCCATTGCAAACTAAAGCCCTTGGAGGTAATGGACACTTTGGTTGTCGAAAGATTTCGGTAGCATTACAGAAAACTTGTCATCAGGCCATGTACTAATAAATTGAGAACTCTGTCACGGATGAGATGCATCTCACCTAATTTTAGCTGTCTGAAAAGGAGACATCTGGTGTATGCAAGTTTCCTCTGTTCCCTTTTGAGTCAGCATAGAAATATAGGGGTCTTTAAGAAGACAACTCATCACAACTGTGTGTGATCTAAGGACAGACTGAACCCCTACTAGGCAGGGCCTAACTCCTTCCATTCAGCAGAAAGGGAGCTCATATTGACAGGAATTCTCAGAGTACTGAAGTTGTGTGATATGTATTCTGCTTATAGGGAATGCTCTCCATTTTGTGCAGTGAGTGAAGCAGAAGAGGACAAATTGTTAACTAATCACACATAACTTATATTTACATTGCCTCATTTGCCATCGAGATTGAATAAAGGTTGCAGATTTTTAAATTCAGCTATCAGCTTGATTGATCAGCTATGATTTTCAAAATCTCTTCAAGAGAAGAAACAAACAAAATATTGTTATTGTTATTTGAGCTGAGAAAGTAGTCAAGCCAGATTGCCCAGGTGGAACTGGGAAGAAAATACCTAGGAAAACCTCCAAATGAACTTGTGACTTAAAGTAATCTCTTAAGACTATTTCAACTGAAGGACAAGAAAGTACATTATTACTGTTACCACTACTAGTAGTATTACTACTGTTAATACTACTATTACTACCAGCATTTTGTTTATTTCATGTGCCTGGAAGCAATTTGGATGGAGTATGTTGCCTTGACTTTAGGACTGGAACTGGGATTGTGAGGGAGACAGTATGAAGCTTTCAGAGTTTAAACCTTGAACCACAATAATAATGTAAAAAATACACAATGCTGTGATCATTTCTCCAGCACTTGAACAGGATGTTTCCCTGGCAGTGTTTTTCCACTAACAGTGCATTGAAAGATGCTTACTGAGGACTTTCCTCAAACAGTTTAATGTGTCATATAGCATTTTTGTGCTGGACTTACAGCAAAAACAGGGGCTGTTATTTGGTTTTTCTACCACTAAGGAAGCACCACATTGTCAGTGACATATGGAAAGAGATCCCATACATAACTTCCCAGTCCTCTCTACAAGTAAATGGGAAAGAACACACCTGCCTAAATTTTCATGGGCAAAGGTTACTGTTATACCTTGCTCAAGCACAGGGTGAAAGGGTGGGACTTTCATGTTCTCAGTTGCTTTGATTTAAAAGGTTTATGTACCAGGACAGGTGTGGTTTCCCAACTGGCTTATAAACTGTTTAATTAGTAATGACATAAACATGGCATTTAATAAGACTGTCTTTGATCATAAGCCTCTTACTTCATTAGAACTTCTGAAACAATATGGGGCCACTGAAACCCTCTACCGTGATTACATCTCCTGAAAAGCAGCAGACCCTAGTCCATATTAAAACTAAAATAGTGAGCTGAAAGAGAAGCTCAGATTTGTAACAGCATACTTGGCTAGAAAAGTAATTTCTTATGCGCTGCTCTGCTGATCAAATCAGCCGAATGTCTCGCTACCCGTAAGTAATAACCCCCTTAC